ATGGCAAAACACAGCTCAGTGTTAGATCGAGCTCCTAAACAATTAGGACAGACTCAGAAACATAGGGTCGTTTCATAGGGATTGCGTAGTAATACTGTTCGAGACAGAGCTTAGGGCTGTCCTATTATCTGATGTACATATATACCCAGCGTGAAGGAGTATTCTTCTTCACGCAACGTCTTCTGTTTAAACTGATACCTATATTTCACATACTTATCTCTTCTCTAAAGAAGACCGCCGTTCTTGTACCAACCTCACCTATTACTCACTTTACCTTGACCTCTTCCGTGAACCCTATACCTTACGCTGACTTCATACCTCCTCCTCATACGAATCACCACTATAATTCACGCTTATACCATACTCGTACTTTAAGGAATACCGATAACACAATGCCTTGAGAATTCTACAGAAACTCTCCAAACTTCTTCTAGGCAAGCACCAAGCCCTATAATTGGGAGACTAAGTCACATACAGGCGTGTGTATGGTATAGATGATCAGCATTCTACTATTTTTCTAACACTTTTATCATGCAATACTAGCTCTGCTTAAACCAATAGTGTTGCCCTAACTAGACTAATTAGTCTGAATATCAACACTTAAAATCTTCGTTTTGGCGGAACGTAATGCTTAACATGACATAAGAATTGAGAATTCTCCTACTGCAGCATCGGCACATTGCCAGCTAGAATTAGTCAAACAAGATGAAGTAGTACCAGAGCAAAATTCGAGGTATGGTGTTATGATTATAAGCGTACGGAAGATATCTTCATGGACAAATATGGGTGACTTGCAATGTGCGAGAAGAAAAATCGTGTGAGTTGGGAGCAATGAAGTGATGTGTGCAGACTTGGTTTCTATGTAGCTGGATGTGTGGACTCTTTACTCCCCATGTACATGGTTCGGCTAATTTACTTAGCAAGCTCCGGACAAATAATATAGCAGAACATGACATACAGTCTGGTGGATAATACGAAATATTATAGTAATCATAGCCTCTCAAGAAATGGGAAAGTCAAGTCTTAATCATAAGAAACAAATGTGGAGATTTTGTCTCGAATTTTCACGGATATGCCATAAATGCCATCTCAATCCACGTAAAGAAAATAGTTCATGACATTTATCGGATTTTCAGTAGAGCTTATGTAAACTATAATGATACTCAGTTAATTCTTCTGAAATCTCATGCTCAATTACTCTCGAAAAAACTACGGAGACTTGATGTATTAATTTAATTCTGAAGTAGCACGACTGATCGACTATTTTCAAGCGCTAAAGACCTCAATCAACTATGTACTCTTCTCTACACCGATATCAATTTAACTGTAGACCAAGAAGGAAAGCTGGAAGTATCAGAGCCTAACACTGGGCAAGAGAAGTGACTTTTGACTGCTGGAAGAAAGTATCATCACAATGAAATATTACGAAAGAAATATATTGTCGGAAAAGGGCTTAAAATTATGGGAAAATACAAATCCAGCATCCAAGAGGCGGTTTCTCTGAGTGGAAAAGATGCATACTTCAATATCTTTATCATGACTAGGCGAAGGGCTCTTGGTGAGACCAGCCTCAGCTGCATACTTACCTACTAAATCTCCATTAAATTACTTAAACAAATTAGGGGTACTTTAAATAGGAACCTAGACCCCTAATCAAGTTGAATACTGTAATCTAAGACACAAATGAAAACACAGTACATAACTGACACTAAAGATCAGAGTATAAACACTTCAAAAGCCAATTAAGTGAGCGAACGATAAATCCCACCACAAGAGAGCGGAAAACAGGGGCAGAAGCTAGCCATTGAGAGAACATAGTTTCTTCCCTCTCTCCGTATGAACACTTAAAGCAAAATATACTCCACTACATTAAGGTACTTAATGCGCAAAATGATATGTAAAGAACAACCCAAATAAAGCCGTATCCTCTGCTCACCGACTACTAATCCATATCTTTAGGCAATTATGTAGATACCAGACTTATGTGCTGGGCTATCACTCAGCTCCTTTTGTCATTCTCATTTTTTAATCATGAATATTGCACTTCTAAACCTCTTGCCATATTTATTGTTTTTGAACTCTGCAAGATTTCTGTGAGGGTTTGAAGCTTTACGCCCACTTCCTTCTCTTAACTCAGATAGCCCCGACCTAGCCTTGACACAAAATATCTGATGATTGAACTCGCAGACTGCTCTTTCCTGAACCAATTGATTCTCTTTTATTATAATATCCTGCTTCTTCTACTCTTACATCAAATCAATCTCGCTCTACCTTTTAAAAAACTGCTTTCCCATAAAGAGCCAGCTTGCATTCAAACTTCAAACGATCTTGTGAATAGCTCATTCTGTGGAACTCGTTCCCAAAATGTCAACAACTTCGCTTTTACCAAAGCCAGTTAAGAATCTGGATGCTCATGTGAGAATTGTAGACCCATTTATGTATAGCTAATACTAACATTTTGTAGCCCATATTTCTACGTATCTGTCACTCTCCTTGGCCCGAAGTTTCGCAGTATATTTTGGTCTTTCTCAGAGGTTTATTCGCAGCCTATTTGTTCATATCATGCTACTTTATCTACAAATACGAGACCACAGAAAGTGATGGAGAGGTGATGCCGTTTAAATTCTCAAACGTGACATATTTTTTACAACTCTTCTATGAGTCTCTCGCATTTGAAAGTTATATGTTCTGCATCAGCTTTATCTCAACTAACATTAACCTAGATTTGGACAATGATGCATCTCTCTTTCCCGCATCACTCCAATCATGATTCTATTGGGGAAACGATTTTACAGGCTGTACTATCACCTCCACGCCACCGACCGACAACTTTAAATAGTCAATTATTCAGTATTTTTTACAGCATCGCAAATTCTTTTCCCTTTGTTTCTGCAGCTATCATGTGGTTTTTCTTACTTCAACGTAGCAAAAATAATATATCATGTATGCTCAAGTACCTTGAATTTTAGTTTCTAAACTAATATTTGAAGTATTATTTGAGCAGAAACCGTTAATTAAGTTCTATTTCGTGTCCAAGTTTGTTGTTAGTCCAATACTTGCTTTTCTTGAAGTCTTTGTCTTAAGTAGCATTAAACCCCAAACCGTGAGTTAAAGACTAAACAACTATCTCTTCATGACTGAATGGATCTAGAAATTACTAGCTCATGTTTTTGGCGTTACCATATTTTCATGGATATGCATAGCATGGGTTTATGCAGGCTTTTATTTCACTGGTGGCTTTGAGTGGGACTTCATGACTTCCTTCGATAGCTGGAGACAAGTATTTGTTGCTTGTATTTGTGTCACATTACTGGTTAATTTCTGTCAGTGCTTGGATCCTGTTAATGTCACTTCTAACTATTATAGTTTTTTTCTTTACATATTTGGTCTCATGGGGTCGCGAGATGATCATCAAGAAAAGAAGAAATGGTTATCATCAAGTTCAGCGATGAACATTTCCTGGCCGAAGTGCAATAATGATCACAAACTGAGTGATGGAGACGGAATGGGTCCAATAGTTTTTACAATGCTTAGAATTTTTTAGCCAGTATTCCAAAGAAATATTAATAATGAAGGTCTGAATGTAGAGGTAGCGAGCTTGGATTTAAAATTTCCTGGTAGGAATTTGGTGTTCGCTGTTTCAATTAAGAATTCTTCTGTGACGCTATAGCGTGAAGTCTTCAGAAACTAGCGTAATAACTAAAATCTACTTTATAAATTAATCATAAACCTGATGATTCTTTCTAGCATCTTTAAATTGAAGTATAATCTCTGATTTTCAACTTTATTGTACAACAAATTTCAGGGAAGATAGATTCTACCGTAATTATTTCACCATCTTAAAACATGCCGTAAAGAGTCCTGCTCCGCAAATTAAACTAGAGCTTTTCTGAGTTCCTATTTAGATTTTAGATACATGCATTCATGATCGTTTCACTTGAAACATCTATTTTGACCACAAATGGATGGATATTTTGGTCATTTGTGAGTCGATTCATCCCATAATCTATTACTCGTACGATTATATATTATGCTGTATCATTTGAATTTTGACAGTCATGCGCCTTCATTGATATTCAGAGTGAAGACAGAACAAGTGCACTTCTTGTTTGAAATAAAGCATGCAAGTAGTTGTTGTAAGCAATAGCGAATTTTATCCAAGGTATTGAGGTACTTGAGCCACCGGTAGATGAGGATAGAGGTTATCAGGACCATAAGCCGTGGAGTCTTGGTGGTAGAATCAAAGGCTTAAAGTGGATCATAGTCAATGAACATTATAGCTAGTAGCGCCGAAGCAGTGAAGTAAAGCCGCGGGGTCGGCGCGACAGCATAAGTCTTTGGCATAGCTAGAGATTTGAGTTGTTTATGACGTGACAGACTATAAAACTAACATAAATTACTCGAAATTCAAGGAAAATATCCGGCATGATTGGGGATAGCAGGTTGCCATGAAGCGACCGACGCTATTTAAAAATTACCCTAAACCTTGAAAAGACTATGAGCCGGTTGCACATCTCGACATCAAAGCGCCGTTATTTAGAATATCGTTCATTTCGCGAGTCGAGCGCTGAGAAATTCTAGGGTGTCAACTGCTAGTTTCCTGCGATACGGGTATAAAATAAGCACAAGGCCACTTGCTGTGGATCAGTGAAGAGGTATTAGAGCCAACTTATTTTAGAGCCATTGCTGAATTTTGACAATTATTCAGTATGCTTTTCAGCATCATTTACCATTTAACCATAGGCCTGCGATAAGAATAATAACTCTTTTAATCAGAGACGCAGCTTAGTTAAATATAATTGGTACAATAGTTTTCATAAGAGTAGATCGTCTGTAGACACCTCTACAATTCCATGTGATCCGTATTTTGCGGGAAAAGTTGCGCTTTCTATTCGGGTAATTATGGTGTATCGCGACCATAAAATTCTGACTGGGAATAGTCACAACCTTTAAAGTATTGCGCATTATTTTAAAGCGGCAAGTTAATGTATCTAGCTCGATCAGCCGCTCATTTCTTTTCTTGGAAGATTAGGAAATAGAGGCGCTGATTCAACTTCATCCATGCCAGGAACATCACTTAGATCACTTTCATCATCTGCACTGTCGTGTAAACTTCCGCGCTCACTCTCGCCATCATCTTCGCCTTCGATCGTATTTTTTGTGTACATATTTATTTCTGCGCCTCTTTCATCTACTTCCTCACGCCCTTCGTTTTGCGAGATGGAGGTCTCAAGTGGTGTACTCGCTCCACTCTTATCTTTCGTGTTCTCAATTCCGACATTCAAATAGAGAATTATGCTTGATGCTGATGATTTACCTCCCGTAGTGAGAGCAGTTGATCGCGTTACTTCAACAGTTCGACTCACCGCCGATTCTGCCCGTCGAAGAACTTCACGCCGCGGGACACCGATCTTTCTTGGCTTCTCCTTGATAGGCTCTGAGTTCAAACTTGTTGACAATTGAGTCTTTGCATCGCTTCCATCCTTAGGATGTCCCAGACATCCAGTTTGACTCGTAGAAGTACTTTGTTCATCTGGGACAGGAAGGTCTTTTGCAATTTCAGTGTAAAGTACAGCCCAAGCATCATTTATCAAATCATCTATCGGGGCAGGTTTCATTAGGTTAGCATTGACTTTTTTTAATTCGCTTGTCTCGCGTAGAGCTTCAAGCGAAGGATGTTGCATGAGTGGATCTGCGATCCAGGTAGTTAGTCGGTCAGAAAACATCTCAAATTCATCGGCTGGGACCGATTTAAATAGGTCATCCACACTGGAGGGAATAGATCCAGTACGACGTATTAGTCGAAGATATGCAATACAAGCTTCTGTCCAAACTTGTGAAAATCGATAGAATTCATGCCCTTTCTTTCGAACACGCTTAACAAGAGCTTCGAGATTAGGTTTATCATTGGTTAATTCTAAAAGTCGAACCATCCATCGGGTATACCGCTCCATGTAGACACAGTGTCGGCCAGGCCTTTCGGTTTCAGGCTTCCAAACTTGAATGTGCATAGTTTTGGTGAACATGCTTTCACGGAATTCATTTTTGGCAGCAATAGCATTGACATGATCAGACGTCGGACAACCATCGATGTAAAGCATACTAGCTACACGAGCAATCATGCGGTGTTGCCAGTGCTGCTTGTCTTCTTTTCGTAAATGGCGAACCTGTTCGATAATGTAGGACCCCCAATCCTCGTCAACGTTCTCGATCATTATAGGCTGACCTTTTCTTGCAGCGTAAGGCTGTTGTTGAATCAAATCTGCACCTGCTTGAGGTGACATTGCTTTCATTGATACCAGTTTGTGAATGATGGAGACAAATTTATAATGTGGCTCAATAATCGGTTCTACCGAAGACTTAGTTGGCTTAGGGACAGTTTTGATCGCTTCTAAACAGGCCTTTACAATTCCTTCTACAGTAGGAGGATTATGCTCTTTAACCTTGGAGTCTTGTTCTTCGCTGAAGCGATAAAACATTTTCCACAAACATTTTGCCAACATATAATGATTTCTATGATTAAAATTTAGTGAAAATTTAGATTTTTGAAGGGGTTACTAACGTCCATAGATCAGGTCGATCTCGAAGAGAAGCCTTAAATAGTCTGGCTGCATATTTCCAAACTCTGTATTTAGTCATTTCGGCATGTAATGGTCGCTTATACATTCCGGAAGTACCACTCATGTGCTTCTCAAAATCATCTACATAAAAAGCTTCCATGTGAAAAGGTTCACGAGATGAGGCGTAAAGACGCATCCCAAAGTCATGATACATCTCTGAAAGCTTTTCAGTTGCAGTAAAAGATAAATCAACCGTTCTATAGGCTGTGGAGAGAGCCATAGAGTAACAGTGAATAGAATTACGTTGAATTTTGACTAGATCGCTTTTATGGTTATTTATTTTGTCAGTATTCCACAAAACTTCTTCCTCAAGTTCGAGGTCAAAACATTGCGCTTGTCGATACCATGCCTCCCAATCATCGGGATTATACTGGATCTGAAGTCGCATAAAATTGGCTGCCGCACGAATATCATCTGATTGTGGACCCGGTGCTAACCGCTTGATTGAACGATATTTAGTTAGAGAAATCATACCCTGTAGGAAGTACCAGCCTTTTTTACCCAGCGAATTATCCAGGTTTGTCACGGGTAAGCAATTTATCTGTAATTGGCCATTCCATGCTTGATGCATTTCTAGCGGACGAATTGATTTTTTGATAAATTGATTATAAGTTCGTAGATTATGCTGCATTTGAGTTGAGGATTTAACATGTCCGAGAGATGCTTGCATCCGCTCTATAATTTGTCTTAATTCATGCTTTAGTAAGTCTTTCATTGATAATGTATTAGCAAGAGCTATAATTCGATCAGAAATATTCAAGACAGTCTTCTTATCAAGAGGTTCAGTCGGACAGCCATGATCCTCAAGCTCGCATTTCCCCATTCCAAGCTTAATCCCATAAAGATCGTAAAGAACTTGTCCAAGATAATCCTCCCAATTTTCGATATGCTTCAAGCGGATTAGCTCCACCTTCGTCATTTTTAAAAATATTTTGTTTGAAACTTTGCAAAATTTTCGTAATCCCAAGATCCTATGAACATTTGTAAGATAATCGGCTAATTCAGTATCAGGTTGAGGAAAAAGTTCTCTGTATTGAGACATGGCTTCCTTCAGCATTGCATATTGTAAAGCCCATGTTCGAACCTGCATTTCTCGGAGCTTGTTGATAAATCCATTGAATGAGCCACGCTCACTGTATGTAGCAGTTGTCGGAAGTTGAATCATTTTAACCCTAACTTCATCATCGAAAATTGCTGCGGCATGAAGTATTCTACTCAGCTGCGCGATCATGGTACAAGTGGACTTCAGGTGACGTTCGTCAATGATTTCAAAGCAAGAAGGGTGATCATTCAAGGCAATAGTAAGAGACTTAACCAAAAGGTCATCCAAAACTTTCAACCATGTCAGGAGTTTATGTTGGCGAGCGTCTCTTACGCTATTGATATATTCATCGGATCTTAAATCCTCAACTATGATTTCAATACTTTTTAGATAACAAGAAAAGACTTTTGTTTTATAGCCAATGCTGAGGTAAGCGTCTCTAAGTCTTTGCCAAAGGTATAGCCTTAACGAAGTACTACCAGACTTCAAGAACTTCCACATTTCTTTAAGTGCAGTCGGGCAGCTAGATGCAGATTCCGCCGCTTTTTCGTCGGTTTGCTGTTGTATGGCAGAATCTGGATCTAGTACTGGCTCTAGGGTCTCTATAATTGCAACGGGGTCACTCTTATCAGCCTGGAACAAGTTAAAGAAAAAATCTATAGTTGTGAGTTTCGAAGCTTCTCGGTTTGCAGCATCTGCAGATATCTCTGGCATCACTGCGTTATTTGGTAGCTCGATATAAGGATTTCCAGCTTTTTTCAAAAATGCTTCTAAATCCGACCAGCAACAAACCTTGTGTTCCCTAGTAACATCTTCGGAAGTGGTTGCATAATATGCGCAAGCCCATAGATAGCGTAGCGAAAGTTCGCAAGTGGAGTCAGAAATCCATTCTCCCACAATTCTTCTAGAGAAGAATGCCCATCGGGTCAGTCTATCGTAGCTCATATATCTTGTACTATATGGTACTATGCTGTCAGGACCCGTGATATGAGCGTGCACATTAAGATGCAGCTCGAATAATGTTTGGGTTGACTCAACCAATTGAGCTAAGCTTTCTTCGTTCGCACAAAATTTCTCAGCATCATGTTGAAAACGTGTGAATATCTCTGCATCGGCATGACTGATTAAACTAATGACTGAGAGTTTTAGATTTTCTTGCCAAGTAGTGTTTAAATACGTGGGAATAACAGCAAGGACCCATTCAACAATTGTATCCTTCAAAGGCATCCATTCTGAATTTACACGCATTACAAACTCACACAAGCCTTTGTCTAAATCAAATGCTGGAAAGTTGCTGACCTTGATATTTCCAGCCTCGCGTTGATTAAGAAAATTTGCCAACCCAACATTTTCACTGCCAGTAGATGACCCCAGAATATCGGCTTTATTTTCGTTAATAAATTTTGATGCTTTGGCTTCATCCCAAGTCCTCAGAATTTCTCGCAGGTCTCTTACAGCCGTGTTCGTGATAATTTCCTGAGGCTCGATTGGTTTTGTAAGAGAAAGGGCAGTTTGTAAGTCTGATATCGTGCCAAGATCATTAATTTTGAGTCTTCCAAGGAGCCCACCGACAAAGCAGAATACGACTTCGTCATTCTGAACATATTTCTCTAATTGTTCAGCGTACTGAGTGGTGGGATCTACTGGCTCATCGTTGAGGTTATCTCTATTTCTTATTCGTTTACTCCTTTTGTGCGTGTTTTCATCATCTTTTGACTCCCGAATTCCAGCAGTGGACTGCGATCGCTTTCTTGAGGGTAAACTTATGATCGGAGACGTTAGATCGTCAGTACATGACGCAGAATTAAGAGTAGCTATAGCCTCAAGAGACCCATCTTCTGCCAGCTCATTGATCTGGCCATTATTAAGGCCTGAGATATCGGTCATTTCCGTGTCTTGGGTAGTAAGATCTTTTGTTTTTTCATAAGATAGAGCCATATCATTATTTCGGGTTTCCGAAGTTTCTGGTGGGATTTGAAGGCTTATTGCTACACCAGGAATAGTAGATCTAAATGTGGAGAGTAAGTTCTTACAGAGATTCTCCCCAAGAACTGACCAGCTACGTTCTGGAATATTGAGTATAGTGCGTGTATTTATAGTAGGTGATTCGCCATCTTTTTTTTTAAGTAATTTCGTCTCATCTGAAAGATATGGATACTGATCCATGTACTTGAGAAGATAGTCAGGCATTGATCTTCGTAAGAACGGCGTCATGATTGGATGCGACAATGCAGTGTTATCAGAGAGAACCTCAAGAAGCTCTTTTAGTTGTACTCCAGCAAAGCCCTCTTCAATTGATGCAGGCTCCACCTCCGCAACTGTAGGGTCATCATCAACTTCGAGTGCAGCCTCTAAACAATACCTCGATATCCGACGTGAGCCAAGTATTTCACAGACGCGAGCAGTTCGCCTCCAAAGATCCGTGTCTGAAGCATCACTAGCCAATGCTAGAGAGAAGTTTTCGACAGCGGCGATGCCTTGGTACCCGAGTTCTTGCCGGGTAATTTTCGAGTATCGGAGTAGACTTCGTACACAGTCAAGTATAAATATTCCATGGTTTTTATGAGATAAATATAATATTTGTGGTAGGGTACTTGGTGCTCCATCTGCTCGAGCAGCTGCTACCTCTAGGGCTATAGTAGCATCGACGTATTCAAGTTCCGGGTAGTTATTAACTCGCTGGAACTCGGTTTCGCTTTCTGGATACCTGAATATTTCGGATTTTAGAAGTTCTTGGTAAGCGACAGCCGCCTTTTCATAAAATTGTGGGCCTTGCGAATGGATTTTCAATGCAACCTGATAAAGTTTAAGAGCCTCCTCAATCTTTAAAATAATCAGTTAATTTCTGTGGTGATTGTAGGAAGGTTATTACCTGTATTTCCTTGGTGTTATCGACTTCGTCTTCGTCTTGATCATCTGGAACAATGTTGAGAGCCGTAAAACTCGCCTGTTTACGCCATCAGTGTTCTTCGCGTAGAGTGAATGGCACTAGTACCATATTTTGATTGCTAAATTCCTCTCATTGGAAAGATTGTTGTGTGAGTTGGGATCATCTGGCAGGACCATCACGCGTTGATGCGTAACGACTCGATGGGTCCTCTCCGATAACGCTCCGTATGGTGGTGTTGACGTTTGTCCTTTTTAATATAGACACCCCGGAGATTCTAAATGCAAGCTGGCTTAAAGCTAATACTAACATACCATCTCACTCCAATATGTGGGTCAATCCAGATCCGAAATCACAGGCTACACTGAATAACCACGCAAGTGACACCCAATGAATCGGAGGATTGAGAAAATATATCTTATAGTTTAGTGGCAAGTACAACAGCATGGTGGATCCGACACTGTCCAAGTAAGGACTAGGAAGAATCGTATCGTTTATTTACTTTTAACGGCCTCTGTTTTGACTAGAAAAGGCTGAATTATAAGAGGCAGATTGCTACAACAACCATATGAAAGAATTAGCACTTGTAAGAGGTAGTGTTATTGAATTGGAGTGAGAGATGACAACTGAATACCTATCAGTGGTATTCCCTACGAACTTCCAGCTCAGACTGTATATTCAGAAAAACCAAGTTGAATCCCACCTTTCCACCTTTGAGTTGATTTGTCTTCCCATTCCTCAATTGTACGCTTCCAACATCACACACGATAATCACAATGACGATAATGCCGTTGATAAGGATGGATAACACGGTACCGAACGCCACAACTTTTAACAAAAAACTCTCTCGGCACGAATGCAGGCAACACTATAAACGCTAACATGGCTTGGTGGTGCGGCGGAACATCATCTGGACCGGTCTTTCAAGTAGATTCTAGATAGCTTTAATATATATCCCACTCGAGACAGCAGATCGCTGGTTCAGATCCGGCAACACACAACCATATTTCTCGCGGCGCTGTTATGCTAAGATAACCAAAGTTTTTGTTGGGAAGTCTGACTCTCGAATTTAGGACTCAACCATTATCTGTTTCGTCTCAGGTTCCCGACAAGATCGACTCTCTCTACACATGTCCCGAGTGCGCTAATCGCGCCTACTGTTGCATATACGTTTGGATATTTACGTACTACAGTGTACTTTGGCTCATCATGGTAAATGAGAGGTGGCTGGTCATCACTAGGTTTGACAGGCACATGAGATTAGCGGGTATTTATCCCTTAGATGTATATATAAGTCCAATGTTCCCACAGTTGTAAAATATCAAGTCTTCTTTTCTTCATTATATATATCCATGTAATATCGTACAAATTATCCAACAGTTTTTGAAATTCTCCTTTGTGGGTACTAATGGAGGAGGGTCGACTGTATGTATAAGCAAACATACCTCATTGCCCATTTTGTTTCGGATAAAAAGGGGGAAGGAGGTATTACTACAATTCTTAAAGTCTTCCAGGTGTATCGGTGTACACAAGGGAGAATAAATAGAACAAAAAAACATTTGATAGATATATGGAACGGCAAAGATAGGGGTTTTTATTTTTTTTTATCTTTTTTTGCATCAAAGGGGAGTTTAATTACTCGACGCAAATTTTATGTAAATTGTCATAGCTAAACAAGTGAGTACAAAATGAATAAAAAAATATGCCTCATAGTAGCATTTGCAAATGAAATCCAGAGTTTGAGTGTTACTAACGTCAAAAGAGTCGTCCAACATGTATACATTGCACCGGTTATGTGTCAAAGCTATATAGCTGAAAAGTCATTAAATGTATTAAAAAAATCCTGGCTTTGAACATCAGTCCTACACCCATAGTAAATTTAGAGCTTCAGCATAGGACTTTGAAAAAAAAAACAAACACGGAATTTCCATGTGCATGGTGCCACGCCGAGTATAGTTTGAGTAGGTGCCCAGGCTACTCAACTTGGGAAGGAGACATCTCAGATTACATTTCGCGCGGAGTAAAGTTGATGGATGACGGAGGCATGTCTGGATAACTCAGAGTTTTTGAGACGTTCCCCTGGGTGGGTATTCACGGATGAGGGTTGACTTAAAGTGAAGAAAAAGCTACCATCGCTTCGCACTGGTACTTGGAAGTGAAATCTGAGGCATGAGTTCTACTATTGTAAATTGAGTCATCTTTTCTGTACTTTTCTTTCATATTGTGTCATAGCTAGATAGCTGCATACGCAATTAAAATCTGATGCAAAAAAAAAGGTGCCACGCCGAAATCAAAGCTCTGGCAATAACCAGCGACCTCTGCAAGAAGCACGGGCGTAACAAGTCTGAGAGAGGCACATGGCAGATGGCGTGAGGGGAATGATGGGCAAAGGCGGCGCGAGCAGAAACTGAGGATTGAGCGCTGTTCGTATGAAGGAAGCTGAGCAGGTACAAGTGGTTTGTACAAATAGAGGACGAAATGATAGTCTAGAAAGGGGGGAATCGTCCAGTCTGTAGAGCTTTCTATCGTGCATCTAGAATCGCCGGCAGTGAAGTGTAGGACGACCGTAAACCATTAATCTTAACCCTTTACTGTTTTACTTATTCAACTAATCATCTTTGAAGGATAGGAGCACTGTACAAGGCGTGGGCTGGGCCAGAGAGGAGCCCAATGTGCTAGATAGTCCGAGACTCAAGCAGTACAATAAACACACCTCTTTCTCTCTCTTATCATCTCTGACCCCGGAACAAATTTTGCTGGCTAAGAACCTCATTACATACTTATGCTTCGCTCGGCCCAAACTCCAGTGCTTTCACTAATCTAATCTCATATTTAAACACAGGGTTTATTGTCAGACTCTACGAGTCAACTGAATGATGTAAGAAGTATAAGTAAAAAGTGTCAATTAATTCCTGGCTGCTATTTCTCTTTCTGATACTATCTAGATTATGTACGTCTAGGAAATGGCAAATGCCCTATGTGTCCCCAACTTGTCCCCATGAACCGAGTTTCTCATGGTTTGGAACGAAACATCTCTAGTCAGAGCAGATAGAGTTCCCATTGCTGCAGCCCAAGCGAAACACCTTTTTCCGAAACAAGTAACTCCAAGTTTTGCAAACCTAACACCTTAAACTCGATATCTTACATTGGTCGCTTCCAAACTATCCACAGTTTGATATTTATTGAGTAGATTGCTGGCAAAGACTAATTTTTCACCTTCCAGTGGTGCCGGTGTAATCGCCCAAATTGCTCTGTGTATCTGGGATAGCCCAGAACAATCGCATATGTTTCGAAGATGGAATCAACCTCAAGCATTTCTAAAATCGACTTCTCGTCAAATGTTGGATATATCTTACAACATCACCTTGCCTTATCTACCGGCAAAAGGCGTTACTCTAATTGTAATCGGGAGTTTGACTCATCAAAAGTCGGCCATCTCCCATTACAAGATTACGATGCTATGTATACCCGCGAGGAGTAAATTAAGTCATAACCTATAAATCTCGGGTCATGGTTTATGTGAGACTATTGCTCTAATGGGGTTGTACATCCTGAGGAAGGACAGGCAGCTGAGATGTGGATCGAGGTTAAAAGGAGATCTCGTGTGTTTTGTTTTGTTCATTAACGTATTAGGTAAAGTGACTACCGCTGCACTCCTGCTGGAGCTTAAGCACGGGTGGGGCCGGGCTGGATCAGGTTAACTACCATTAAGTACATCTACCTCGTACCACCTAAATGACCGGATCACCTCAGAATTCACCCATGTGTTGAATCATGTCAAGCCGAACCGTCCAGAGAACTCTCTTTTGATGTGCCGAATCGCAAATTCCTCCTCAGCCTCGGCCACCACGAGCCCGAGCCCTTGACACCTTCGCGATCTGTAACTTTTCCCTTCGAATCATTCCCAGCTTTGGCTCATCTCAGTATCTCCTCATCTCATCCAGGGGTCGTTTTCTTCACTGGAGGCCTCATCCAGTCGCCAACCAAGGCCTCCTCAGTTTTTGTTCCCATTTTTTCCTTCATGTAGCATCCCTCTATTCTTCAGCCGATCTCGTCATCCCAGAAACTTTGTAGAATGTCCAGCCCTCCGGCCTTGCCCCGTTGCTGCCGTACCCCTAACCGTGGAGGTCGAAAATGTGACTGAGGGCTTATGATCGAGGCACCAGTGCTCTAGCCTTTGTCTAACGCTCTGGTTTGTGTGCAGGCGAAATGTCGTACGGATTTCGTCGGTGGTGGTTCGTCGTGGGTCGAGTTGTTGGTGCCCTTGGCCGAGGTAAGGACGCATTTAAGACCGGTATTTCCACCGTACCTTCACAGCGACTGGCAGTTGCTGTCACGGAATTTACAAAGGTATTATCAGGATCTGAATGGGTCGGGATCAATCATTGTGTTGTGCGATAAGAAGAGTAAATCTAATTATGTACATGGAAGTCTTTAAGTCCCAAGTTCGCTAAGCCATTCCTAGGACTTAGTCCCGTGACAGTTGCTGAGGGTCGGACATCCTCTTGCTTCATAGTTGGCGATTTACCTTTTAGATGTATGGGGTTCCTTCGGTAGGTGGTGAGATAATTGTGGAGAGTGCCGCGAGTTGAGTTTGGCTGAGAATGAATTTCCAGAGAAAAGAAAATGAGATATTGAAGGTGTCGGTTGTTGTGATACGAACATCAGGCAGGTTATAGGCTGTGTGCGATTCGTATCTGGGGTGTAGATAGTTGATTTGGTTGAGTTGTGTAGTCGTGAAATCTCTGCAAGTCGGATTTTCGACCAAAAATGAGCCATCGCCGCTCCTCCAGATCACCAACTCGATGAAAACTCTCAAATTCACCCTTTGTTGTGCCTGAATCTCGGCTCTATGCCAATATTTCACTCCCAGTTCTGTAGAGGATACCACTGACAGGTATTCAGCCTTCGTCCTTCGAATCAAGGTCTTTGTTGGTTGGGCAGTCTAAAATATCGTTAAAAATATTTATTTCGACGATTATTCGCAAAAGACGATTGGACCACACTTCATGACGAGCGAGGTAATGAGGAGAGACAGTCTAACCTATTGTGAGCTAGCCTAG